CGATGCCATTACAATTTTGCTGCGCTGCAGTCGTTCGCCCGTCAACATGAGCGCTCTCAACTACGAAGGCAAAACGGCTGCACAGGTGGCAGTGGAAAGCGGGGCGGATCGGATGCTCATTGATGTGCTAGCCAGTGGCGTGAGCGCAGCAGAATAGAAAGCATTGCTTTCAGTTACTCCCGTCAATCTCGTCTCACTAAGGCCATAAGACTGAAGCTTATGTTGTCCGCCTCGATTCCAATGCAGTCTCGTATGACGCTTGGCACACCGGAACCGAGCAGGTCAGCTTCAGGCAGCAATACACCTCTGTCAAGCGGCCCTTTCCGGTCACCGTCCAACTCATAGAGCCTACCATTCTTCTGAGACCGAACAAAGCAAACGTAGTGAAGGTCGAGCTCGTCCTCGGCGCTGGCAGGGCTAATGGACTGGCCCTTCGTGGCGACGTTGGCGTAGACCCGTTCGAGTTCTTCTGAACCTTCTACGATAAGGTAGCGTTGACCGGGTGGAGCGTTCATGACTCTAGCCATGACGGAACTCGGTCCTTGACTCATTAGCATCATGCAAAGACGCTGTTACAATACAGAACTCACGGATCATGCACCGGGCCTCGCTATTTGCCAGAGCATGAAGGAGTGCGTAAAGACCGCAGGCGTTGTTGATGGTTTGCTTAAACCACACAACGTCCTCCTCCAAGTCGGCTTGCGGGCACACGTCGGACAATGCATCCTCATGCTGCTTGCGCTTCTCGTATACTGCCGTAGTTGGAAGGACGAGGACTAGGGCTAGCGCCGGGTGAGGGAGACGCTCTGCCTCATCCAAGGACAGCACATCCTCGAAAATAAGCGAGGCAGGGCTTCCCAGTAGGTGGCTTAATTCGGTAAAAATGGCGGGATCAGACTCAAGAGGAAAGAAGTGCTTTCTGTAACAATCACTCATGACGGAGGGGCGAAGTTGCAGCTGGATCAAGGCCGAGCAAGTCGTCAAGAGAAGAACCGGCTTGTGCGTGGGGTAGTGTAGTGCTGCCTGACGAGGAAGTACTCTTCTCTTCCGATAATCGATAAATCCTTTACGGCTGCCAGACATTCGGTGTCTCCTCAGCTCTGCGTTGCAGTGCCAGGGGTAAAGCGGGGTAATCATGATGGCTACCAATTACGTCGAGGCCCTGAGTGCAGCTCCGCAATTCCCGGATATCCACCAAAGCAGCCCTTTCCTTGTTGGCCCAATGATATGCTTTGCCGAAGCACATGACCGCTCAGCGGCCAGGTCGTAGTCAATGCCGCCTTGTCTGTTTGCCCGCTAATGTCGCCTCTGTTTGCCCGCTAATGTCGCCTCTGTTTGCCCGCTAATGTCGCCTCTGATTGCCTGCTAGTGTCGCCGTGTGTGTGCCGCTAATGTCGCCCTCGTCTGCCGCTGGCTGTCTCACCAACACAAAAAGAAAAAGGGAAAACATGAGGGCACCCCAACATTGTTACAGCTCGCAGGTGACTGCAGCCGTGGGATGTCGCTGATTTAGCGAGAACGAAGCAGAGTCAATGCTGGTATCTCCTGCCGCCCCGAATGTGAAGACAGAGAACGCGCTCGGTTCGTAATGACATTGTTCTTTGTATATTAGTCGCAATGTTTCACTCGGAAAGAAGCGAACCCACGCGCTACCGGAATACATTCGATGCACACATGATCAGGCCTACCCCACCCCAAGCGCAGGCATCTGTCAGCATGAACTCACGTGGCGACGCATCAGGGACCACATTGTCGGGTAGCAACAACAACACCGCACCAGACTTGTAAGTCCGCTGAACTCCAACATTTGCACCGCTGGCACGGGTCTTTCCTAAGTCCGTCGCCCATCTAGCGGGCACATGCGGCAAACGTCGTTCAAGACCGCTGCTGATGCCAGCAGCATTGACCGCTAAATTTCTGGGGAGAAACGGTCTTCACTCGGGCCGGACAATCCAGGAACAATGCATCTGGCGGACGGGAATGGAGGCATCGAACAGGGTGCTAAACTTAATTGTGCGGGGTCGGGGTCAAATGCAACAAGAGTCCCCCCACATTCTGGACTGGATCTGTCCCGGGCTCATGCGATCACGTCTCTGGGTGATGTCCCAGCAAGTGGACCAACACTAAGCCTCTCTAGAGGATTACCATAGTCAATGGGCTACTCGTGCATCCGCGTTTAA